GAAGTTCAGAACCGAGAGATTGGCGCCTTCAAGCAAATCGACCCCATCCAAGTGCTCATTCGTGAACAAGAACCGCGGCTGCGTCATGGCGGGTTCTGGCCCGCGCGTCGACTCCAGCCACTGCCAGGACTCGTTAGAGAAGGGAGTTGTAGCGACCATGCTGCCAGCCTGCTTGCTGGCCAGCGGCTTCTCGACCTTGCGAGCTGGTCCCTAGTCGCGCTCTTCGTCTCCAGGTTCATCATTGCGGTCGCCGTCTGGTTCATTGCAGCGCGCATAATCATGCCCCCCCTTCTTCCTGGTCATATGCGGTACATTGAGCGCGTTATATTGGCGGGCCCTAAAGCAGCGCTGAGAAAAAAAGAAACGCCAAGATCCGTCGTCGTCCACCGCGACTTCAACTTCGCGCCCTCGCCACCGCCACTGCTGCACATTCCTGGAATGCAGGTCGCCGCTGGCGAAGGGCAACGCGCGCGCGCCGCCTGGCCGCTCCACCTGCTGGCACCGTCCACCGAGGTTTCCTCCGACGAGCCCGCGCACTTCGATGCCTTTCGCCCAGTCGGTCTCGATGATTGACAGGGTCTGGATAAGTCTGCGCGGGTGGGCCATGAGCTAGATCGCTGCGGTTCCTCGCGTCACTGGCGCACTCGAAGCCCTGTCGGGGCTGGGTCAGCGACCGTGCTGCGCATGTGTATTGTCTTGCTCGGAGGGATGATCAGCCGACCAGTTGCCAGAGGATCACGCGTCGCATCTGCGAGTCCGAGGCCTGCCATGCCCCGCCGGGCGCTGAGGTCACTCGGCTTAACTTTGCTGGCGAATCACCGCCCCGCCAGGGTGATCCATTCTAGTGGGCCGTTCGGGAAGTGGCACGCGTTGTTCGAGAGCGTGCCCTACGCGGCGATCCTGATCGCATGGGTTCAAGAACTTCTTCTTACCGGGCAGATTGCTTGTGCTGTTTGGCGCAGCGATATCACCTCGGCGTCTCGCCCCTGCGCCCGCCACCCCGCGGCCGCCGACTTCCTCTCGATCGCGCCGGATTCTGTTTTTTTTTCGGTTCGCGCACCGTCGCTGCAGCAATGGGGCGAAGCTGCGCGGCGAAGGCATGCCTAACATCGACGAGAGCAAGCGCGTGCCGGACTTGCCGTCGCCGTCCTTGCCAACAACTGCATTGCCAGCTGCGCGCCTGGAGCGGCTGGCCCACCTCTGGTCTCCTTTGTCGAGGCGCTCGTTTCTACCAGGCATCGAGGCCGCCGCCGACGCCCGCGACGTTGCCGCGAACCACCTCTGCATCCGCTCTCGGCTGCTCGAGCACAGGGGCCCCGCCCGAGCGCGGGGGCCCCGTCTTCCAGGCGAAGACGATCGATCGCGCCCGCGCCCCGCGCTGCATCGCGCAGCATATCTCGCAGCTCGGCTTAATTAAGCAAGTACGACCCGCCCTCCCCCGCCCTGCTCAAGCCCGTGGCTCGCCAGCATCGTCGCTCGGAGCCTGGCGTGGACGGTGCTCCTGACTCGGCGTGGGGCTCGTCGGTTGCTGGGCTCAACTTCTCATCGGACGTGTCGACGTGGGCCCCGGCGTTTTTTTCAACGCCTCGCGCGTTGTCTGGGTTCTGGGGGGCGCCTCGCACACGCGGCGGGCCGCGCTCGCCCGCGACGTCGTTTGGGCCGACTTGGCTTCTCGGCAGCGCTGTGGGGATTGGCCCAGTGTTCCTCGACGTCGCGACCACGCGCTTCGCGCGCCGCGCCGGTGCTCATGCTGCCCATCGCGGTGCCTGGGCGCCTCGTCGCGCGCGCTTGCGGCGCGGCGCTCGGTCTCTCTTGGCGCGACCCCCCCTGGTCGGCCCCCCATCGCTCGAGGCCGCGGACCTCCGGGCCCGAGCCAGCGCCCGGCCCCAACTCTACCTTGTCGAGCTCGTCGGCTTCCTCGTCGCCTTCAGCCATGAGGATTTTGAGCTCTTTTATTTTCGCGAGCGGACGATCCGCGGATTCCTCTGCGTCTCGGCCCCTTCCTGACCTCATCGAGCGCGCCTTTGGATTCGCCGAGAGCGATTTCTGGTAGGTCGAATCTGATGGCCTCTCTGCATCGGTCTTGCACCCTGAGGATTGCAGTCGCGCCGTTGCTGGGCCTGCAGCTGGGCCTCCTCGTCGCGGTGGCGCGGGCGGCGCTGGTGACCCTGGCACCTGCGAGGCGGCTTTGGCTTTCCCTGTCAGAGCGCAGATTTCCGAGCCAGTCCGCTTGGACGCTGACTCGGGTTCCGTCGCTTCACGTTTTGCTGGAGCGCTCCAGCCCGTGCCAGTTCAAGTCAAGTGGGCGCTGTCTCGGGTTCCGCCGCCTCACGTTTTGCTCCGAGTATGGGTGCGCATTCGGTTCGCGTCATCATGCCGCCCTGCGAGGGCCCTTGGCCCCCTGCACCAGTGACCCATTTGCGGCGCCAAGAGCTCGCCAACCGCGCTTCTTCGTGGGCGTCGAGCGGGCTGCCGTGGTTCTTCTGCGCCCTGCCCACGGGCGGCTTTTTCTCGTGGCTCGACTGGTGCGTGGACTACGCCCGCGGCATTCTTCACAACGAAGCCTTCGCGCCCGCCTCCCCCGCCAGAGCCCGACGCGCGATCGACGCCGCCCTCATCGAGGTCCCGCGAGTATTCGGCCAGCGAAAGAGGCCAGCAACATGGCGATGGCTACCCATCACCTACCAATGCTGATCTGGCTGTCATGGGCGCCATGGGCGACTCGCTGAACGACGACCTCGCTCCCTGCCTCCGCGAGGTCGCACGCGCTTGCGGCGCTGCGCTCGGTCTCTCTCGACGCGCCCCCCCCGGTCGGCTTCCCCTCGCTCGAGGCCGCGGACCTCCGGGCCCGACCCGACGCCCGGCGCCCAGCGCCAGCTCTTTTTTCGTCAAGCTCGTCGGCTTCCTCGTCGCCTTCAGCCATGCGGAGCACGAGCTTCCGCGAGCGGACGATCCGCGGATTCCCGCGCATATTGGCCCTCTCGGCTTCATGGGGCGCGCCTGTGAAGCTTCCGGAAACGATTTCTGGGAGGTCGAATGATGGCCTCTCTGCATCGGTCTTGCACCCTGAGGATTGCAGTCGCGCCGTTGCTGGGCCTGCAGCTGGGCCTCCTCGTCGCGGTGGCGCGGGCGGCGCGGGTGGCCCTGGCACTTGCGAGGCGGCTTTGGCTTTCCGTGTCAGAGTGCAAATTTCCGAGCCAGTCCGCTTGGACGTTGACTCGGGTTCCGTCGCTTCACGTTTTGCCAGAGCGCTCCAGCCCGTGCCAGTTCAAGTCATGCGCGCGTTGTCTCGGGTTCCGCCGCCTCACGTTTTGCTCTGAGTATGGGCGCGCATTCGGTTCGCGTCATCATGCCGCCCTGCGAGGGCCAAAGCCCCCCCCGCGCAAGTTGCCCACCAGCGGCGCCGCGAGCTCGCCAACCGCGTTCGTTTGTGGGCGTCGAGCTGGCTACCGTCGTTCTTCTACGCCCTGCCCGTGGGCAATTTGTTTTCCCAGTTCGACTGGTGCACTGCGGCGTCCTCTACAGCGAAGCTTGCGCGCCCGCCTTCGTGCGTCGGCCGGCCGGCCTTTCCACTGCCATGATGCAATTTGCTGTCGAGATCTGCCTCGCTGGGTAATCCAACTCTGCCATCTCCCGCGAGCGTCTGCGTCGACAGCTCCTCGAGCATTTCTGGGCAATTCCGCTGCCCATCTTCATGCTGTCGGGCCGTCAATGTGTCCGCCACCACAGCTGGAGTGGAGGCCTGACCCCTCGCGCATGGGCTTCGACGCGCGGGTTCGACTTATTTGTTGCATTCCTGACGCTGCTGCCTGGCGTCCGAGAGCTTCGACGCGGGCCTTGCCTGAACCCAATCTGCAGCGCGCCCCGCATGGCGCCTCCTGGAAAGACCTGGGCGTTGACCCGCTAGAACTCTACGCGAGATTTACGTCGCCCTCCTCGAGGTCCCGCGAGCATTCGGCCAGCGCAAGCGGCCGGCAGCATGGCGATGGCTATGTACCCGTCATCTACCGAGGCTAATGTGGCTATCATGGACGCCATCGACGACTCGCTGAACGACGACCTCGGCCCCCTGCCTCCGCACGCTGACGAGAACATTTCTTGGCCGCGATATCGACCGCATCTTTGGGCCCTGTTCGCGGCCCCCTCTGCCGCGGGAGGCCCGGGGGGAGGCGCCGGCGCCGCGGCCCTCCCTCGGCGCAACGTCCTCGTGGCATGCGGGCAGCTCTGCTGGCCCTGCGCCTCCTGGTGGCGATGCTGAGGTACTGGACTGGCGTATCGAACCTCCTGCCGCTCCTGAAAGCTCCACGGCCTGCCACACCTGGTCATCCGCGCAGTGCTCCTACAGCCGGCTACGCAGGCTGCTCCCCAGGGCGCTCTCGATGCTCTTGCCCGTGGCGCGGGGGTTCACGCGCCTCGCCTTCTCCCTGCTGGTGGTCCTGCCGACCCTGGTGATTAGGTGGACCTGGACTTCTTCGAGATCGCTGCTGTGGAGGACATGGCCGAGGAGCACGACCGCTACGGGTACGACGTCGTCTCGATTGCCGCTGTCTTCTTCGCCCGTTGTGCGCTGTCCTGGAGCCGTTCGTCATCGAGTAGCCCTTCTCGGGTGGCGACTTCTACTACAACGATTTCGTCGACACGGCCTTCGTCGAGAGCCCTAGTGGCTCGGCGCCCCCGCGCCTGCAGCGTCCGTAGGCGAGATCGAACCGCCTCTTGAGACGCTTGCTCTTCTTCCTCCGCGTCCTCCTCCTCCTCTTTCTCATATTCCTCCTCCTCCTCCTCCTCCTCCTCCTCCTCCTCCCTCCTCCTCCTCCTCAACCTACTCCTCCTCCTCCAGCTTATCATTGTGCTGTTAATAGGGCATGAAGCTTCATAAAACGGGGCAGCGGCCTGGATCCATTTGGATCATTTAGATTCGCAGGGCACGAGCACGGTTATACCTTACCCAAGTCCTAAGAAGCCAGCCTAGACATCATGTGGGCCTTTCCACAGCCGTTCTGGCTCGAGCGCCCGCCGCGCCGTTCGCTCGCGTGCAACGCATGGGCATGCGGCGCCGCCCGCGGCGGGATCGATGGCGGCGGCGGCGGCGGCGGAGGACCCCATCGAGGACCCAGAGGACGCCATCTCTGTGGCGTCCACGGTGCTGGACGAGCCCTCCGACGACGGCGTTCCGGACCCCCACAGCGGTCACCCGCGCCCATCACCCGGTCGCGCCTGCCTGGCCCCGCTGGCCGCGGCGGCCGTGGGTGCGCTTTCGGCGGGCACCGGCGCCTGGCCGCCGCCCGCCGCCGCCTCGCCGGGCGCTTTGCCCCGCGCTTGGCCCTCGCTCTCGGCACCCTCGGCGCGGGCGGCTCCTGATCCCGCGGGCCCGTCCGCGCCGAGCCGCCGACAACCCAGCCTGGCAGGCGGCTGCCTGGCGGCGGCGGTAGGGCTCTCCGCGGAGCCGCAGCTGGCCGACCGTCAGGTGCTCGGCCACGTTCGCGCGGCGGCCGGCGACAGCCAGCTCGATGTATCCGCGCTGCAGCGGGCGGTGGCGGACGGCAGCGCGGCCAGGCGCGCGGCAGCAGAGGCGCGCGCCGCACCGCCGCCTGGCTGCGGGTTGCCGCTACACCTGCTGCCGGGGGAGGCCTGCGCGCCCGCGGGGCCCTCATGCTCCACGGCGTCGCGGCCACGGTGTTGGCCCCATGGTTCGCTCGCCGTGGAGCCGGCGGCGGCGGGGCGCTCGGGGGCCTCGCCCCAGCGGCGGCCAAGCGACCAGGAGCAACTGCAGCCTGCTGCAGGCCCCCGTAGCTCGCCACCCGTCTGCGAGAGGGCGGCTGGACGCGAAGCCCCACCCGCCCCCGATCAGCACATGCAACATGTGCAGCAGGGCTCGGGGCGCGCATCCCAGCAGCAGCCGCACGAGTGCTCGCCCGCCTGCCAGCGGCAACAGGAGCAAGGCTCGACCGCCTCTCCGCAGCAGCCTCAGCACAGCTCGCCCGCCTCCCGGCGGCATTTGACCCGCTCTGCTGCCTTGCCCGAGAGGCTGGATCCAGGAGGGGTCGCGGCGGCCGAGGCCGCGCCACAGGACGAGCTGGCCTCGCGCGAGCAGCTAGCGCTGTTGACCATCCCGCAGCTGCAGCGGCTGCTCCGCAGCAGGGGCCTAGCGGCCTCTGGGGCCAAGGCTGAGCTCGTCGCGCGGGCGGTGCAGATGGGGGTTCTTCGGTCCGAGGCCAATGATCAGGATACCAAGCACCGCGCCGATGCCAAGGGCGCACGCCCAGCGATCAAGAGGGTCTGGCCGCCAGAGTACCGCGAGCTCTACAACAAGGCGGCCCGGCCCGCCGCCGCCGACCCGGAGCAGGCGCGCCTTCGTGCGATGGCCGCCTTGCACGCGGCGGCGGCTGCGGGGGATCTGCTGACCAGGCCGACCTGCGAGCGGTGTGGCAGCGCCTTGGAGCTCGTCGAGGGCGGGGGCGCGGAGCCCTTCGTGAGCTGCGTCACGTACCGCGCGGGGCCGCAGCAGTGGTGCCGCGGCCCGCGCGCGTCGCTCGAGGCGTTCTGCACCCGCCTGCAGGACCGGCGTCGCGTCGTCGTCGAGCTGGCCCACGGCGGCGACGCCGTCGTCGTGAGCGCGGACGCCGACGCCGCGCCGCTGCTCCGCGCCCTCCGCGCAGCTCGGCCGGCGGAGGAGCTGCCCGGCTCCACCGAGCTCGAAGAAGAACAAGCGGCATTAACATGAACTTTCGGAGTTGGTCGTCGCCGGACCCTCCTTCCTGGCGCGCGGAGCGCGCCAGGGGTCGGCGCCGCAGGCGCCGCCGGAGGGGTCCAGCGCCGGCCCCAGCAGTCCGCTCGGACCTCCGAAAGCATGTGCTGATGCTTTTTGTTATTTCTCGACGAGCGGCGGCCTGTGTTCGCCACGGCGGGCTACGCCGCGGTGATGCAGGCGCTCAGGAGGCTGGTGGCCGCGGGCACGCCCGCGGTTGGCGGCGTGCAGCTGCGCGGCGTCCCCGAAGCCACGCGGCAGGCCTTCGAGGGCGAGCAGCCGCGCGCGAGCGAGGCGGAGCTGCGGGCGGCGCTACAGCGCCTGCGCGGTGCCGCGCTGGAGGCGGTGCTCAGGCTTGGCGGCGCACGTTTTTCGGCTTTCGAAGTTCGAGTTTTTCGGAAGTTTCGTCGATTCTCGGCGGCTTCCCAGCCTCGGGATGCCTTCCGGCAGCTGCGCCTGTCGAGAGCGCTCTCGGGGTGCTCAGGTCTTCCTGAACGGCCGCCGGAGACCGGATCTTTGAACCGAACAGAATCAGGAGGGGGAAAAGCACACAGACACAATTAACCGTCGATCCCGAGGAAAATATGGGAAAACGTGGGAAGTGGGGGGGAAGGCAAGAACCCAGAAAAATGATGGGACAACATGGGACATCTTTTTATTTGCGTGCGTGTGTGTGTGTGTGTGTGTTTATTCGCGTGTCCCAGGAGGAGGAGGGGGGGAGGAGGAGGAGGAGAAGGAGGAGGAGGAGGAGGAGGAGGAGGAGGAGGAGGAGCAGGAGGAGGAGGAGGAGGAGGAGGAGGAGGAGGAGGAGGAGGACAAGGGCCCCTTCACTCACTGGAAGGGCAAGGACCCCCAGCCGCCCATTTCTCGCCGAGGGGGGGCCTGGCAGCTCACCCCTGCCGGGAGCGCGCGGTTCGGGCATCGGGGGCCCGTCGCCGCTGCGTCGGCGACGAGTCGGCCGATGTATGCGCTCGCCGCTTCCCCCCCCCCGAAGCTCCTGCTCCTCCTCCTCCTCCCCCTCCTCTTCCTCCTCCTCCTCCTCCTCCTCCTCCTCCTCCTCCTCCTCCTCCCTGCTGTAACCCCTCCTTCTCCCGCCCCCCCCCTTTCCTACTCCTCCTGGACAGAACCCCCAACAGTGACACGTCGATTAGTGAATTGTCCGTTTTCGGTTCTCGAGGTGGCGCCGTGGCGGTTATTTTCCAGGCTTGCGCCCGCCAGGTTTGGGCCTCAGGTCGTTTTCACTAAACCACGTTTTGCTAAAGGGGGGTCTGTCCATCCCCGAGAAGCTTATGATGCTCCAACCTGCTTTAGCCTTGACGACCGGAAAGAGTTTCGAGCACCAAGAAAGTACTAAACTTGAAGGGTTTCACGTGTCGGGCCCTGGGAGGCGACACTCGTTCGACACTGTTTCGACACCGATCTGGGTGCTCGAAATTATTTCTGGGATGTGGTCCTGGAGTGCGATGGGAGCAACATAACCCTAAGCTGGTTTCCCCCCTCATCGTCCCCCTGAACAGGAGGGGCCGGGGCCAGGGGGGGGGGGGGGGCGGCTTCCTGAGATGGCAGGGCGCTTCGTGGAAGGGGTCGAAGGAGGCTTCCGAGGGGCCTTCCCTGGAAAGCCTCCGGCCCCTTCCAAGAAGCCCCGCGGCTTCTTGGAAGGCCTCCCCGTCGCCACACCCCCTCGTGCGGCGCCGTCGGCAGGCCCCACCAGAGGGCGGCCGTCGAGTGGGCACTGCCGCGGCGAAGGGTGCTCATCGCCGACGACATGGGCCTCGGGAAGACGCTGGAGGCGCTGGCGGTGCTCGTCGCCCTCGGGGCCTTCCCCGCGCTGGTGGTCTGCCCAGCCTTCGCGCGCAGCAGCTGGGCGGCGCAGCTGGAGCGGTGGGGCGTCGCGAGGCCGGGCGAGTACTGCGTCCTCCGCGACAGCTCGTCCTTCGTGGGCCACCGCAGCGTGCCCAGGGTAACGATCCTCAGCTGCCGCATGCTGGTAAACCAGTTCAAGCCGCTCGCCCGGGTCGCCTGGGGCGGCTTCGTGGTGGACGAGTCGCACTTCATCGGGACGTCGCAGCGCCTGGGCTGCGACAGCGAGGGCTCGGTGGAGCAGAGGCTCCTCCTGCGCCTCCTGCGCGACGCCCCGCAGGTCACCCCCATAGTCCTGCTCTCTGGCACGCCAGCGTGGACGAAAACCTTCGACGTCTTCAACCAGGTGGACCTCCTCAAGCCAGGCGCGCTCGGGCGCTCCAGGTGGGACTTCGCGAGGGCCTTTTTCACGACTCGGCGGGGGGCGGCGCTCAGGCCAGGGGGGTTCGAGCCGCTGCGCATCGGACCCTGTGAACGCCCCTCGGAGCTGAACTTGCTGCTGTCACGCTTGGTGATGATCAGGCGCAGACGCCAGGAGACCGCTCCAAATTCTCCCCCCCTTTTAGGAAGGCTCTGCAGCTGCCTAGCGCTCACAAGCGTCCAAGCCTCTTTAGATTTCCCTGCCTCCCACGGTTCACGCGGATGTTAAAGTCCCCAAGGTTTACCCAGCTCCCAGCGGTCTAAAAAAATCCCAAGCCTCCCAAAGCTTCCCACGCCTCCCAAAGCTCCCCAAGCCTCAACAGCTTCCCAAACCTCCCAAGCTTCCGAAGCCTCCTACGATTCCCAAGCCTCCAGCGCCTCCCAAACCTCCCCGAGCCCCGAAGTCGCCCCAAGCTTTCACAGGGTTCAAGCGTCCCATGTGGTGTTCGTCGCTCAGGATTTGTGTGCTCACAGGACCAATGGTGCTCAATTGTCTGGCGTTCGTTAGCCTGGTGGCGCCGTCCACCTTCGTTCATAAGCACTGTGGTGCTCATGTGCGCCCGCCTGCAGTGTGATGCTTGCCAGTTGCCGAAGCTGTATGGCTCGAAGGCGTGGTGGTTCTCATGTGCCCTGTTGTCTTGTGTTCGTAAGTGTTGCTGTGTTCATGCTCCTTGGTGTGCTCAGACGGTGTGCTGCATGCAGGTGGCGTGGTCATTACAAGCCTTGTGCGTACTCACTGGTTTCTTTTTGTTTGTAAGGTGTAGGTCCTTTGCGCTGTGGCGACCTTCGCCCCTCTGACTCTGACAGACACAGCGACGCTTGCAATTCGCAACCACTTGTCCTCCTCTCTGTCCGCCCATCCCTTGTCACCCTTCCCCTTTCCTCCCTCTCCCCCCGTCGTCCTGCATGCCGTGAGGGATCTCCAAAGTTCGATTTGTCGATGCGTCCAGCCAGACCCGAGCCAACAATTTTGTGGTGCACGTGGACATCTACGCGTGCGCACAAAACTGCGGTGGCCTGCCCTGCGGTGTGCACACGCCATGTGGTATGCTCAGGCTGCGAGCGTCTGGTGTTCTCAAGGACATACCTGCGGTACACGTAGGCCTGGTGTGTACAAGCCCTGCAGGGTGATAACACACAGGCGTTGCATGCACGTGTGACGTGCAACGGCGTGTGATGTTCGTGAACACGAGCGTGCGCCCGCCATGAACAAAACATCGGCCTCCAGGACGTGCTCCACTCTCTGCCGCCTTTGGATCTGATCGAGGTGCCGCTGGAGATCGACACGAGGGACGCAACCATTGCTGTGGAGCGGCACGGCATCAGGCGGGTCGGCGCGGATTGTTGGGACGGCGTTGCCACCGCCTGGGAGCGCGTCGGTCTTTGCAAGGCGATCGCAGCGTGCTCGTTTTTTCTTGAAAGGTTCGGAGACAATCTGGATGGCATCGGCCCAGTGGTGATATTCGTGAGGCACCACCGCGTCCGTGAGTCTCTGGAGCGCTTCTTCGCGGAGAACCTGCCCGATGCGGAGCTGGGCGTGCTGATAGGTCAGGGGCGCGAGGAGGTGCTGCGGGAGTTCGCGGCGGGACGCTATCAGCTGCTTATCGCCATGGTGGAATCCTGCGGCGTGGCGGTTGACTTCAGCAGGGCCTCGATTTGCGTTTTTCTGGAACTGCCAGATACCGCAAGCGAGTTCGGCCAGGCGCTGGCGCGGCTGCACCGGGAGGGGCAGAAGTCGACCGTCACGGCGTACGTGCTGTTAGGGTCCGTGGCGCCATCTGAGACGCGACCAGGCTGCGACGACGAAGACGACGCCCGCCGCATCCTGAAAGAGTGCGGGAAGTTCGACTGGAGGCGATGGAGGGTCTTATTGCTGAAGCACCAGGAGCAGACGAGGGTGCTGGGCGACCATCGCAGCCAGGCGGCCCCCGGCTGGCACGAGCAGGGCCGCGCTGAGGAACCCGCCGCAGGGGCCCCTGCAGCGGGCGAGGGGCCGCAGGCGCCGCAGCCTGGGGAGCCAGCCGCCGAGCTGTGGCGCTTCGCAGTCAGCGCGGAGACGCGGCGGCTGCACGTCTACGATGCGGCCGGCGTGCACACGGGCCTGGCCTCGAGGGGCCCCGCGCTACCGGGCGTGGAGCCAACAGCGGCGGACTTCGCCTTCGTGCCGGGGCTGGCGGGCGGGCCCCGCCTCGAGGCCTGCGGGGAGCCCCCTGCGGTTGCCGCTGTGGCGCAGGCCGCGGCGCGCTTCGTAGGCGCGCACGCAGGCCTGACGGCCCACGAGCAGCGCCTAGTGCACCGTGGCGGTCCTGGCGGCGCGCCGCACCCGTGCACTGCGGAGTCCCTGGCGGCCGTGGTGCAGGCCTTGCACGCGCCTGAGAAGCATTCGGTGCGCCGCCGGGCAGCGAAGGGCCCAGGCTCGGCGCTGCCAGCGGGGGCAGAGTGGGCCGAGGCCATCGTGGTCGACCGTCGTGGGGAGAGGCCGCCGTACGAGCAGGCCGTCGTTTTGGAGACGAGGTCGACCTACTGCTTGGAGTGCATGCGGCTGCTGCCGCCGCTGGGCGTGCCCATGGTGCGCGGGGAGGCGCCGGCGAAGCGGGTGGTCGTGCGCTACAGTTGCGACCTCGATCTCTTCTGCGACGGCGCCTGCCGTCAGGCGTTCTTCGTCAAGCGGAGCCAGGGGGTGGCACGGAGGGTGATCCAGAGCTTCGAGCGTGGCGTCTGCCGGTGCTGTGGCCTGGACACCGAGCAGCTCGCCGCCCGCCTGCAGCGGCTGGCCTCCCAGGAGCTGCGCGGGGCCTTCTTCGACGAGGGCGGCAGGGCGGAGGCCGCGGAGCGGGCCTTCTTCTGGCGACTCGCGCCTGCTCGCCGCATCCGGGTGTTGTCGCAGCCCGACAAGATGGCGAATTTCTGGGAGGCGGACCATGTGCGTGCCGTGGCCGATGGTGGCGGCGAGGCCGAGGTTGGGAACTACCAGACATTGTGCCTAGCGTGCCACCGCGAGAAGACCAGCGGGGAGCGCCGCCGCCGACAGGCAGCACGCCTGGCCTCGAAGCGCCCGGCCCGGCCCGAGATCGGGGCGACCCAGCGGCGCTCTGCGAAGAGGCGGCGGGCGCCGTCCTGCACGCAGGCGCCCCCAGCAGAGAAGGCCGTGTGCTGCTCCTCACCGGAGGCGGGCGGGCCTGCCGGCTTCCACTCCGACGACGCGCCGCTGCGCGGGGCGGCCCCTGCCCCCACAGTCCTCTCGGAGCCAGCTGCTGGCTCCGCCGCCGCCTGCTCGCGGGGGCCCCGGAAGCGAGGGCGCCCGCCGGCTGGCGCTCGGGTGGCGCTGGCAGCCGCTGGCGGGGAGCTGGCAGTTGCTGGCGGGCCCGCCTCGAAGGAGCCGCGGAAGCGGCCGGGCGCTACTGTGACCCCAGCGGCCGCCGGCCCTGCCGACGCTGTCGCGCCATCCGCGGCCGCCGGCGCGGCTGGCGCCCGC